GAGAGAGAGAGAGAGAGAGAGAAAGAGAGAGAGAGAGAGAGAGACTGTGCTTCTCTGTGTGAGTGCCTTTATGTTTGGATAGACTCTCTCTCTCTCTTTCTTTGTGTATCTGTATTATGTAAAAGTGTGTCCTCCCATTGACAATTATATAGTGGTACAATTGTGTCTCTCTCACAAGCAGGCACACACAACCATACAGACCATTATAAAAAGTCAGAGGCCTCCCAGCCTATTATAGAGGCCTCTTGGGGCCCCTCTTTCATCACCAATAATATAAACAGTCTTCACTCCCGCTGCGACACACACAGACACACACACACAGAGACACAGACACACACACACAGACACACACACACACACGGACTCACACAAGCAAGAGAAGTCACAGAAAGGAGTATCCAGTGGAGAAAATCTGAGAAATGACGTAAAGAATTTCTATAGTTTAACTGTCAGTCACTTAAAAAACAGTTGTCGGGGTTTATTGCTCTAACCTGGGTTCATATAGGAACCAATGAAAGGAATATTCAAATTCAGACCATCTGTTCGTGCACTGCACTCGTCTTTTCATGTGAAACTCTCATTACATGTCTCAGCTACAAAACAACTAACATCAGCTGCCCCAGTAGATCATCCTTTGTATTTCACTTCTTCAATTCTCCTAACAGAAAGGAGACATGTAAGCACCCCCCCCCCCCCCCCCCCTCACCTCCCTACCCTCCTAAAGCCTGCATCCTTTTTCATGAATCGTATGACAGAAGAAACAGTTTGAGTTTCTTCTGCTTTTCAACAACTTTAACTCTGGGGGAAGGGAGATGAAGAGCTGTGCATAGGAGCCTCGTTCCCAGCAGCAGTTTATGGCCTGCATGTAAGCAGATATGGCAGTTTTGTGATACGTGCAGCTGATGGAAGCTTCAGTGGTGTGCAGGTGGAGCTCCAAGCTGGCTAGCCGGGTCCTTTGGGATTAGATGCAGCTCGCTTTGATGCTGCTGACAGATTTGGACATTTCAGAGCCAATGCTTAGGCCAGGGATGCATGCACACTAGGGTTATTTTAATTGCTGTACATATGTACTGTAAATCTGCAGGTGGACACAGCAAATTACTCTCGATATGTTCTAGTCTAGCACGTAAGAATACTTGGAGCTCTGGAGAGCCAATGCTTGCATCTATGAATGCGTGGAAAATAAAGTGGGTACTCCATTTCTCTGTTTAACAATGGTTCACAAAACACAGAAAACAACTTTATATTCAGCCTTCTGTCAATCTATCTAATGCCAGCACAAATTCCCTCAGGGACCAAGAATGTTTATTCCACCTACTGTTTTGTTAGCATAGACTGATGCGTGTGCTCTTCCTGGCATCAGCTTCCCAAATGCAGACGGAGTCTAAGTAGAGCTACAGTGAATCTATCACTCCCCTGCTATCCATTTACGTGGAGAGAGGCCAAATTCCTGAGAAAAAATAAAATAGATTCTGGGCTGCGTTTAAAGGGAAAGTAATCTAACTGCCAAAGTAACAAAGACCAATCACCTGCTTGTCTCAAACAATGATTTGAAGCTTTGCAAAAAACTTGATTTTTATTTGTTACCAAGCTGCAGGAGGTGAAAGGTGG